GGGATTCAAAGAAACATGGAAAACTACACACAGAGGCTGCCTACCCGAAGGGAACCTAGAAGAAAACCAAAATTAGCTAAAGTAATCATTGAGGTGCCTCCGAAAAAAGAATGAAAATATCCCATCCAAGAAAAGAGCGGATAAGATTATGCTGTAAAACCAATAGTTACAGCACTATTTCAGTAGGGTTCAACAAAGTGCAGAGGAATGGCTAAAGGAAAACATCCGTTAAAGAACACCAAAGCTGGTCATACAAGACGTGGAGACACGTGATCGACCCAATCGAACAGACTGAAGCGCTCTGACATGTAAGACACCTTTATCTGCTCCAACTCGCGAGCCAATTCGTCGGCTTCAAGACGAAGGGTCTCCTTAAGGTGCTGTTTTTGTTGTAGCGCCTCCTCCGCCGCGTCAGCACGCTTCCGAGCGGCATAAACAGCAGCCTCCGCCTCGCGCAGCGCCCGCGCCTCCTCCTCTTGTGCGTGCTCTACACGCCACTGCGCCTCCTCGGCCGCTTTCTTTGCTTCGGCTAAACGCGTAGCACCGCGCTTTAGCGACTCATCCACCTCCACTGTCAAGATTGAATAAAAAAATGGCTAAATAGACGTTCCACAGCCAAAACACAAATAAACTACTACTGAATCTGTTGCTACCACTAAAAATGTCGTTCGATGAGGACCAATAAAAAACGCACTCTACTATTCGTCCGCACTCTAAGTCAACAACTTGCTTCGACCTCACGCTACAATCTGTCTGAATCACCAATTAGTGCTGTGCAGTAATGATTTATGTGCCTGAGATTGGCTAAATTACTGAATCAACACCAAAAGATCAGGCAAATCTTGCCTCCATCGACCAAGTGAAATTGGTGGGTATGTATTAAAGTAATCAACGAGTGTCCACCATGAAATATGTAGATGGACTGAGCATAGGCTCCAGTTCGAGTAAGACTCCTGATGAAATACACACTCAACATAAGTAATAATAATAATAATCTCCACTTTTGCCCCAACCTGACAGCGGAAGCTTCTGCTTTGTAACACTCAGTGTAAAGATAATAAACAAAAGAGAGAGGGGTGGACCAAATAATGTGTCACTAGAGTTTATCGTGCCATCCTTGTCTACTAACCACTCCACAGTTAACCCTTACCAAAGTCCTCAGTTCGGATGATGATCACAGACATCACAGTAAAAGCATTTCGTTCTACGGTGAAATCAATCTCAACAGACGAGAATATAGAAAACGTAATGGGTCAGTTAGAAAACACTTGGCATTGAACGGCAGTGTCACTGCAGCCATAACAACCTTCCCGTGAGAAATCTGTTCAAAAAGCGAACGAAGATTTTGAAAGCAATCCAAATGTACCTAGCTCCTCCCTTAGTCGTCCCAGATCAGAGCGAAGACGGTGCGTGTCCGACTGCCGAAGGTTGGTTTCAACGAGGGCAAGTTGATGACGAGTGCGGTCAAGGATCTCGACGAGGTCAGCACGTCGATGTGTGCGCTCCGCAGCAGACTCACGTGCCTCTTGTGTCGCTCGAGCACGAGCCCTGGCCTCTGCCGCCTCACATTCCGCTACACGCCATTGCGCAACGCGGATCAGCAGACAGGCTGCACCATCGCCCCCGCAGCCTGCTCGTGAACCACCCGATAGTGTACCCTGAAAACACAAGGGACAAACAGGAGTCAAAAGAACGTAATTAGCAAAAAGCACATGCTTAGATGATGAGAACGCTGTAATGTACTAAGTTCTACTGAAGTGGATAAAGACTTTTTAGTATTCATAAGTACATACACGCAGAAATTGACGTACTAAAGTTCACCTCCAAAAAATAAATACCCCACAATACATGAAACTGTGGCCCATTTATCTACAATGTAATTTCAAATAAGCGAAGGTCTTTTATGCATCGAACCATCTGCCAGCCTTGCGAAAATGAATTTGAAAAATAGCTGAAAAACCCCCGAACGCAGTGGTTATTTCACGCGACAGAGTAACGGTTGCTTTGAAATGTATGCATTGCAGCATGAGACACTAGTCCCCCAGCATCGTTGCCTTTCCGAACAACAACATTAAAGACGATATAACCAAGAAGAAACTGGCCTGTGGATCAAACATATCACCATCGTAGGTGATAGTGCGTCTCTCAACGCCTGGATGAAAGGCAACCCGACGAGCGTGGTCGAGAGTAGGGCAGACAAGGAGACCGCCAAAGATGAATTCCATAACAGGTTTAAGATGAGAGGAATACCGAATAAGAGAGAGGGCGGGCGCGACGTTGTTCGCACCAACCAAATCTTCAGCTCGATGCAACACTTCTGCTGGCACCGGAGCACCACGCATCCGGTTGAGTGGGAGCATCGTTACTCGCCTCGCCAAATGTCCCTTATCCAGTAGTGCCTTTGCCGTCGTTTCGGTGTCTACGACCACGTTATAAAGCTGCAGACAGACGACCACACATGCACAAGCATGTGTGCATCAAGTATAAACTTCTAGTCTTCAACCTATTTCACTGTGCATTATCAAGAGATCAAAAGATAAGGCTACAATTAAATATCAAAAAGAAAGATAAAACAGGGTGGCACTATCTCTTTCCAGGCCAAACATACAGCAGAATGAGGAAAATCGTTCAAACCGCTGTCTGCTTGGACAGCCTTCTTAGCTGCCTTTTGGTGTTGTACCCTTTAATTAAACGATTTCAAAGGTACAATGCAAGGCACAAAACCATTGACGCATATTAAGCAAGCTCCTACGAATCTATCAAAACCGCCCAGATTATTCGATAGTTAGCAAACACAATGAAAATACAAGTACCTTTGCTTGTTATTCTCTTGATGAACTTCTCAAATTTGAAACGTAACTATTATAACCCCAAACGCACCTTCCCACCAGCGGCAACTTCAATAGCAGTAGCATATTTTGAATCAACGAGGTCAAACAACTTCGCCACCACCCCGTAAACACGTCTTCTATCAAAATTTGGTGTCGGATCAGTGTACTCAAATTGTAGTTGGTGAAACTGACGACCCAACTCTTCGCTGCGGGATTGCAACAAACGCGCGGCTTTTGCCTCCTCATTGCACCTATCTATCAGTAAAAAGTTAGAGAAGACAGAGGAGTAAGGGTATGCAAACTAACTAGTAATTGCAGCCTCATCACCGCCTGCCTCCTCATCTGCCCTGCGAATCTCTTCTAACTGCTCATTCACCTTTGCTATCTGCTCCATAAGTTGGCATCGTTTTCGCGCCTCCTCCTGTCCTTCCACCCCACATTTCGCTTCCATCGCTGCAAGTTTCCTCTCCCCGCCAGCTAATTCCTTTGACAGATGCTCCTCTCGCATTTCCAGCTGACGTAACTCCGTTTCCACCGCCACTCGATGACCTTCTGCAACGCGAGCCTGCTCCGCCAGGCCTCCAGCACCCTTGGAGGAAGACCCACGGCCGCCAAGGCCCGAAGTAGTCGCCTAAATGAGTACAGTTAAGAGAGGGTAGACCAAGAAGATCAACAAAGAATAAGAGAAAGCAAACCTACAGCCAAGTTTGCCTGTGCCTCAGTAAGAGCTTCTCGTGCCTGCTGTGCAGCCTCTTCGAGATCATGAAACTCAGCACCGGCAGCAGCCTCAGCTGCACGCTGCTTCGCTGCCAAATGGGTGGCCCCTTCAGACAACTGAACGTCGAGAGAGTGGAGCTGCTTCTTTGCAGTCCGCAGACGTTCCATGGCGCGAGTCGATGCTCCTGCCGCTACCGCCTCCTCCTTCTGACGCTCAGTTAGTAGTCGCTCTGCTTCCTCTAGTGCAGGGCCTAGCAACTGAAGTTAGAAAAAAGCACCTTGCTAAGTTTGTTTTTCCATTTATTCGATTCATCATTCACGAAAAGTCCGGAGATGCAAAAAAAACAAGCTTAATAACAGATGAATTCAATTAGCTTGTCGGATGGGAAATACAGATTAAATCGTCGTACATTGAAGAGACAACAAATCCCTAAAATGGCCTCATTATCACGATGACCAGCAGCTAAGCCTAAGCAAATGCGGAGGCCTTCACCACTTATCAATGGCAGTAGCACAAGTAATTGGTAAGTGGACCCAAGGCCCAGCAAACCCAATTTGATGAAGGTGATGAAAAATAATACATCTTGACATGCCAATTTTCGGTAATTAGCAAATAGTAGATCACATGCATGTCTTGCACAAAAATAAAGGTTATAGCAGCCTTCCTAATACAAGAGTTCGGCTTTGGAGACTGATTTCCAAAACAAGACGATATTTCAATAAGCCGATTTCAAACTAGCTGGACAGCTCGGTCCAAAAATGTCCAGATATGGACCCCAAATCATACTGGAATGGCAATTGCAGCGATCTAATTTTGACATCAATTAAGCTCTTGCTGCACTGACTCACTTTCTCAAGTAAACAGAGTG